ATAAATCAATTATACCGAAAATCTATACATTTTTTCCGTGTGTGTACTAGACTGGCCCCCAAAACACAACAGTTGAAATTTTTTCGCTCTTACCTCGGAATACTTTTCCATATGGTGTGCAAATAACGTGTGTAAAGTTTCATGCCGATAGCTCAACGCTAGATGGTGCCGCAAGAACTCGGTAGGTCATTATGTGAATTCATTGAAAAATGACGTTTTCAGTTAAAATAAAAATATCTTCGCACAACCATATCGACTAAAAATTGATGGTAATCGTCATTTTCCATCAAACACCTGCCACTGGTGAGGTTTCAAACGATTTGGATGAAAATAAAACACATTTCCATGCAAAATTTTTTGCTAATAAAAACAAAACAATCATTTATATAGAATTTGATACGGTTATCAACCACTATTTGGTCATATTTATGAAATAGAAAATATTGCTTTCAAAGTAAATATGGAAAAGTAGCAATTGATTCCATAGAAATGTTGGGTGCACGCACTTGAAATTTTTCTTGCTTGTTTCAATACAAAATAATTGAAGAAAATGTATTTTTTACTTAATACTTTCCATTTTTTATTTGGTCATCTTCAATATATCAATACAAAATACTGTCAAATTGTGTTTCTTATCACAGCGGACGGTAGTTCGCGCGAGTGACGAAATCACATTAGTGTTTGAAAAGTCGAACTCGTTGATGTATGGTTGGAAAGCTCATGGGCCATAGATCAAGAAAAAATATCAAAGTTTGAAAATCGGTCCGCCTGTCTTCAAAATATGGTCCTTTCAAGAAAAGGGTCAAAATTTAGTTCTACGGCCATAGATGGCACTAAATGAGGTCGTTGATCCCTAAAAATTATTTTAAAATTTTTATATGAATTTCTTATATTTTCTTATAAAAATCATTTGGTATATCTATCTGTCCGCGATTTTGCGTAGTTGTTTCTGATCTTTTTGAAACTTTCTGTGATTAAAGTATATAAAAAACTAAGACTTTTTTGTTCCGGCACTTTTCGATTTGGCCGCCATGTTCCGTGGCCGGCCTCCAAAAGTCACTTTTTGACTTTTGCCCCTACGGTCACTGGGTTGCCTCCATGTGACACACCCCGGACATATGCATATCGTTGGAAAGGTCTTACAATGAGCTTACGAATTGTGCCATTTGCGGTCCAAAAATTTCAAAGTGGGGTGGCCAAATTGGCCAAAAACCAAAAAGTAACCGTTCGGCCGGACACATAACGTCCATTACCTCGAAAACAAGCTCAACGATTTTTTTGAAAATTTCACCGATTTTGAACCCAACTCTAAGCTATAATATGCCGCAAAGCTCATAACTCAGAAAATTTTTGTTATAAAGATATGACCTTTGGTAGTGCAAATATGGCAAAAAATTTCCATTTTTTCATACGGTCACTGTGGCACCTAGACTTGAGATACCCAGGACATATGCATATTTGTTGGAAAGGTCTTAAAGTAAGCTGTCGAATGGTGCCAATTGCGACTCAAAAATTTCAAGTTCAGGTGGCCAAATCGGCCGAACGGTTACTTTTTGGTTTTTGGCCAATTTGGCCACCCCACATTGGAATTTTTGGACCGCAAATGGCACCATTCGCAAGCGCACTTGAAGACCTTTCCGACGATATGCATATGTCCGGGGTGTGTCACATGGAGGCAGCCCAGTGACCGTCGAGACAAAAGTGAAAAAGTGACTTTTGGAGGCCGGCCACGGCCAACATGGCGACCAAATCGAAAAGTGCCGGAACAAAAAAGTATCAGTTATTTATGTACTTAAATCACAGAAAGTTTCAAAAAGATCAGACTCGAGTACGCAAAATCGCGTACAGATAGACATTTTGATTTTTCATAGAAATTCATATGAAATTTTTAAAATAATAAATTTTTCGAACGGATAAACCGATTTTGAAGTTTGAGGTATCTTTGGAAAGGTATTGAGCTCTAGAATCAGAATATCGATGTTTTAGGGTTCAACGACCTCATTTAGTGCCATATATGGCCGTAGAACTGAATGTTGACTGTTTTCTTGAAAGGACCATATTTTGAAGACAGGTGGACCGATTTTCAAACTTTTATATTTTTTCTTGATCTATGGCCCAAGGGCTTTCCAACCAATAATCAAACGCGGCAAAAGGCTTTCTAGGTCTGTATTTCGTATATTTCGTGTATATATAGCGAGTTCGACTTTTCAACACACTAATGTGGCTTCGTCACTCGCGCGAACTGCCGTCCGCTGTGATTCACAGTACACAGAAAAAATATCTACCAACTATTTTCGTCACGCAATTGATATCAGAAATTTTGTGTTTCAAATTTTGGTTTCGTCACTCGTTCTTCACCTCGATAGAGGTTTTTTATTTGATATATTTGAACAGCTACAAGAAGCCACCTGCTGGTTGTCATTTGAACCACATTGCTTAACATGTAAACAGTTTTTGCATGTGAAAAGATTCAAAATGGAAAAAATTAAGTAAAAAATATATTGCTATTAGGTTGATATCCATCTCTAACATATCCGTTTTAAAAATGGATACAAAAGATTTTGTTTTTTTATTATCGGACATCTTGAACGTTTCCTTCCGTCACAAAAATGTTTGACACCTTCATGAACTTTTCATGTGCCATATACCGAGTCTCCGAGACCTTCATACAAGCGTGCCATATAGCAGCCATATGACACCTAAATAATCGGCGTTGACAAATTAGGATTTAGATGATAAGAAATTCGATTTTTTTTATTTTGATTGAACCCGGTGATTTTTTTTTTCATTTTTCGTGATTTTTATCATCTATATGGGAGGCTTGTATGAAAAACATTGAATACCTCTCGCCATTGACTTTAAAATATTCGCTAACGCGTTAGATGAGTAATGTTGCATATGAATCCTATGAATTGAACGCAAAAGAATAAACAAAAATAAAGAAACAGAACAAAAATAATATTGCTGTTTACTTTTTTTGCATTTTTATTTCAATTTATTTATAAGAAAGATATGGGTAAGAAAAGAATGGTGGATAAGAAGAAGGAGGAGCGAAGCTTGGCGTCAATATCAAATAGCATGTTCGCTGCTCAACAACATCATCCGCCACACATTCAACCACCGTACGGATATGCAAATCAAATGCAGCAATATTGGTATCCGCCAATGTATATGCCACCATCTCAATATCCTTATCCGTCAGCAAATTATCAACATCAGCTACCACATTATCAATATCCACCCATGGGTGGACCACAAAGTGTCTCTGTGCCGCCATATTTACCGGCGCCCAATTCACAACAACCACCAAAAAATCGTCGCACTGAAACTGTTACAACAAACAGTTTGGAGAAATCTGCAAGAGCTGAAGCAAGTAACAAGTCCGATCTGCCTAAAGATGAAGCACACAAAATTGCTCGCCGTAAGATAATTGATTCGATGAAGAATTTATACAGTTCGTCATCGGAAGATGAACCCCAACTATCACCAGATCCACCATCATTTGAAATGACAGATATTGAAGATAATAATGAAGCACAGACGAACCTTGAAGCAAGTGGAAGCAATTTGCCGCATACAATTGCACCAGATGCAAAAAAGCGTAAGCACAGTTCACCTGGTGAAGTCGTTCCAGCCAAGCACTTAAAGATGTCAACGAAAACTAATCGGAAGAATCTCAAAACATCCGAAGATGGGGGTGCGGGTCAACAGACATCATCCGTCAATCGTAAAACACGGTCAAAGAAAAAATCCAAAAAATACGTCGAATATTCCGAAGATAGTGC